TACATTTTATGTCTGCATAAGTACAAGAATTTTAAATCAACTTGATCTGAAGTCCCTTTATACCTGGCGTTTGGAAGTTTTCGACTTTTTATAAGTGTCCATTTGATCATTTCTCTATTGTTCTCCATGACCTTGATCCTGTGTTGGCATAGTTTGATGTTTTGGAGTGCCCTATTGCAAACACTGTTTTTTGGTTCAGACCGTGCTTTTATTTTATCTTTGGATTCTTTTGAATATGGCTCCTAAATGTTTTATCTTACATTGGATTTGTGATTCTAATATTCACTGTTCTGCTTTTATAGGTCCAATCCATCAAATGGATCGACAGCCTGTGAAACAAATGGTATATATTATATTCGTTGATCATTCAGGCCCATTTTCTTTTTCGGTAAATGGAATTAGACCATCCTACCCAACCAAGAGTAGTCGATAAATACTTAGGGTTCCCTTTTCATAAGAATACAAGAGCTGCGGCGTTCATAGGAGGGGATAGGTTTTGGAGTGAATTCTTTGCATCTTTTCATCTGGCTTTTATAGTTCATAGTACTTTTTTATGTAGAAAAAGCACCCGGAAGTAGGATCTGTGGCAGCAGAAGCATATGCCCAGACGCCTAGTTTATTGAAAGTGCATATACTGATTTATAGGTCTCCGCTTTGCAGTTAGGAATAATCTCATGTCTACGCTGCCTGAATTGCTCTTATATCTCTTATAATTGATCTCATTTCTGCTTGAACATTCAGTGCTGCAAAGTTATTAATCAACAAAGTCTTTACTAAGGCTATTCTGTCTATTTTGCTTCCATTGATTCTATTAAGGATAAAATTTTGACTAAACAGCCATATTTTAGCCAGTAATTTGTTTAAAATATAGCATGACGTCTAAATAAGGCCACTTTATTTGACTTCTGTTTTTTGTCGAGGAACTCTTTCAGGATTAAAGTTGAGTTAGTCCTCCAAGTCTTATTTGTGCCTCTTTGTTTCCTGTAGGCAGTTGAAAGCCAAAATCCGGACTACTCTCACTTTGTATCGCTTCCATTAGCCATATATCCTGAACTGGTAAACAAACTCATCAACTTTCAGAGCTCAGTTCTTGGAATTACTGAAGTGTCCAAGTCCCCTACCTCAGAATCAAAGGCTTCAGAACTATTAGGTATAAGATCTACGTACTGTGTTACTTTTCTTAAGGACAGGTTAGCTAAAATCCCCGTAAACTTGGCACGGGTTATTAGTTGCACATAGTATTAATTATCCTATGCACTTGGATATTTGACAGCATTTTACCCCTGGATGATCTCATCTCTTGGAAGTGACATACATGCTCTTGCTACGCTCTTTGCATGTCAGCATCTTAGGGGAATTAAACAATTGGAATAAATAAACCATTGTATATGACTGTCAAGTAACAGGTGGAAAATACCCCACCTCTAGCTGATTCTTCAATTTCTCGTCACTTGCACGCACCTAAACTCTTTGCCATGTCAGCATCTTAGGGGATAAGGACTATCAAATAGCCAAGTCGAGGAGTAATTAATATTACGAATAGTTCAGATGTGCTACTAATAATTCGTGCCAAGTTTATGGGTTATTAGGTATTCTGCCTTGATTAAAAGATGAAAAGAGAAAAATGATTCATGTACTAATGTTGTTGTAAAAGATGAAAATTGTTCTCTCTTCATTTCCTTATGTTTATTATAATATCTATCCCTATCTTTCAACCTAGCATGGGGACTCAGTGCTTCTATTTCTTAATCTCTGACAAAATTCACCAATGTTTTTCCACTCAAACAGAGTTGGGAATTGAGAAGTCCATCTTTATTAATCCAAAAACATTCCACTTGACTGTGCTCATGCTGAAGCTTTGGAATAAGGACGATTTTGAAGCAGCTGCTCAGGTTTTGCGGGTAAACATTTCTACTTGTATGGCTATTTTGTCCCTTTGTAATATCTTTTTCTGTGTCTAACTTCTCAAAATAAACCAGAGTGTCTCACCAAAAGTACTTGATGCTTTGGAGAGCCGACCTGTGTCTATAAGACTGAAGGGTTTGGTAAGTATTTATCCAAGTTATACAATTATGCACTTCGGGCTGCTATAGTTGATAACCATTACATGTTAATTCTTATCCGCGTAAGTTATATCATCTCCTTATTGAAGCTAATTTTTTTTGTACACAGCTGGTTTAGTTATGACAATTTAAGTGGCATTATAACCCTTTCCTTTGAAATTTATCCGTGGAGTTCGTATTTGCTTATCTGCTTGTAATCAATCTTTGGGTGAATCATCTGTTGCTAATCGTCTGCATAAAAAGGTATAGGTTAACGCACAAGAAGTGGATAACCTATTATTGGGAAGGGTCAAATAATAGGGCGTGTATATTATACCCGGATGTAATGACTACAATAAATAGCCACGTGGCCTAGTAATATGTTGCCAACGCATTAAATGGGACCACACCTATTGCGCCATTAGCGGGAGGGGTAATTTTAAGCCTAGAAATAACATCGTGTGTATTTATGGACCAAAAGGTGGATGCAAGGTAATTTTAGACCATTTACCAAGCAATAGGGGTAGTTTTGGCCCTTTTCCGTAAGAAAAATGATCAAAACACCGCCTGCCACTACTCATCCCATCTCATGTAGTAGAGTCCAATAACGAAGAAACATGGAAAAATGTTGTAGATTGAGCAGAAGGTGATTAATGGTTTTCTTGCTGTAGCAAATGCACTTCACCATTAATGGCTATCTTGATGCAGCAAAGGATCTGGGATTCATTGAACAAAGTAACAGAGGAGTGAAAGGAAACAATGAAAGGATAGACTAGTGGTGAGGAATCTCCACCTACCGTAAGATTATTGGTTTAAGTCACCAAAAGAGCAAAGTAGGAAAGGATCACTCCTCGGCTCAAAGTTCTCGAATGAACATCGAGGGAAGACATCTAAGAGCAAGTCACCTTTCAGTATTCACAAATTTTAGCAACTGTCAAATTGGAAATTTTCATATTGTATTACAGAAACTAATGTTTTTATATTGTTTAGGTTCATATGCATGAAGATCATCTATATTTTGTTTTTTCAGTATTAAATATTGTCTGAATTTAACTTGCACTTTATCTTTTACTTCAAAAACAAAATGATAGATCTCATACTAGAGATACTTGAAATGTCCAACTATAAGGTTCGAATAAATTTAAGTTGCCACCTGACGTGTTTGTTCCTTTTTTCCTTTTATAACTATACATGTGTTGAATGTGATGTAATTTTTCCATGCACCACAAAATTTCAATATTTTGTTGTGCAAAGTAAAATAACGCGAGTTAACTTAATCAATTTAGTTGTACTTCGCTAGTGACTTTTTCTTTGGCTTTTTCCTTTTTGGAGAGTAATTGCCGGGCTTGCAGTATGTGTTTATCAAAAAAATGCATACGGTCCACTCAGATTTTATTTTATGGATTCTGATGTCTATTTGTTGTGCTATAGCAGTTTGCTAGTTTGGAATATTTTCTTGTGGTTTGATGATTTTCTCTTATGGGCTAATAAGTTAATGGCTTGGGGAAACACTAAAACAAGAAAGAAAACCTCTCCAAACAGGATACAAGAATTAGTAGTGATATTACAGTTGTAGTAATATTTTGTAGCGAAA